TTTAACAGCCTTTGTCCCCCCCCCCCCTCCCAAGTTTTACGTTCCTTTCGAATAAATCGTAAAAAAGTGGCCAGCTTTTTCTTTTTCACCGAAACTGCGTCACAGTTGTTTATGCAAGTCCGTATTTTTATAAACCTAATTAAGCAAATATAATCAATTATAAGTAGAGATTTATTTCATCAATTAAATATTATAGCAAGTACTGTACTTTGAATGTTTTGCATACTTTCTTGTATTTCTATATATCCCGGTATACTTTTGTATGTTGTGGAATAATTTTACATAATTTTGCATAATTTTGCATATTTTTTCATATTTTTGTATGTTTTTGTATATTTTTGTATATTACGTGTATTTTACTCTTGTTTGGAATTTTACTTTTCCTATAAATGCATATTATTTAATTATTATTTAATTATTAACAATGCTCTCTTTTCGCTAATTATGTTTAGAATGAAAACGAAACAAATCTTTTTTTTTTACGAATAAGAAAGAAATAATTCTCAATTACTATGAAAATAGTTTTAATTACAATATCGTGTTTCACTTTTAATAAACCTACTAATGTTGACAGTAATGTTGACATAATTTCCAAATTATGTTATGTTTATGAATATATATAATTGGAAGCATAGGCAGGATCTGAAATATAAATTTACTAATTCAAGGGCTAGTGAATAATTGTTTACCTTAATATCTAGAATAAATAAATCATTGATATATCAATTATTGCCTGTGTCAAGGGATTATGTCTCAAACATTGGAATTGAAAAAAGGGAGGACTTAAGCTAAATTCGTGGAATAATTGTCGGTAGAAAGCAGAAGAATTTGCTGAGAGCGCGTTTATCGTTCAGACGATTACTTTCGCCGCGATAATGTCGCCATAATGGAGAAAAAGGCGACCAGATAAACAAGGATCGTAAACAAGAAATTAAAATATGCAAATGGTTGGACAGGGAATATACCTATAAACGAGGGTACTTTACAACGTTCTTGTACCGTTAAAATTACTATTTCCAAGTCCACCTTATTTCAAGATGAACTTTGATCTCGTCGTGTATGAGCGATCACATTAGTGATTATTACATAAGTATAAGCGTGTCTAATGCGATCCATCTAGGCACACACAGCTTGAATATCAAGTTCAGGATGAAAAGAAACGAAACATTCGTGTGGGAAAATATTTTTTTATGGAAATATCACTGGATGCATTTTTCTCCTAGATTTTTGTCGTGGATTTTTCTCATACATCTTTTTCATCGTTCTAAATATAAATTAGATCTTTAGAAAGTGCGAATGTATTATAGAATATGTCGATTTTGCAACTTGCAGATGTTTTTATAAACGTTATTTCAAAATGTGCGTAAGCAATTTTAAAATCGAATAATCAAATTCCATATTACCAAAACTGTTCTTTTAATTGGTTATGAACTTACACGCGTATTTTTATGCCCTCTTCACCGTTCAAAAAATTAATTTTTTATTAAAATTTCATAGATATATTACCCATTTTCAGAAAACTAAACTTGTATTTTTCAAGTTGTATGACTATCGAAGTTGTTTGAAATAAGAAAGATGAACAAAAATGGTCATGTCTCGTCCATGTGCTGCATCTATTATTAACGAAATAAAAGTTAATATAATTGTTCTGTAAATATCCTTTACTTTAACGGCAACGATCCTGTTGAAGTCCAAGAGCGACTAATTGTAAGAACCAAATTTCATCCTTCCCCTTAAAATTAAAAATTTCATTTAATAGCCGCATATATAAATCCTTTTCTTACTGCTTTCTCATTATCATTATTAAACCTCGTCTACTTGATATCCACAAAATTACCATTTACCATTACATGTTTCCAAAATATTCTCCTTATCAATATAATCTATTCAACCCCACATCTAATTTTTTTAATTAGAAATTTCATTTAATCGTCACTTACGTAGAACCCAATCTCCTGCTCTCCATTTTTCTCAAAACCTCTTTCATTGCCACTACTAAAATCTCGCCTATTCGGTATTCGAAAAAATTACCATTTACTGTTACGTATTCCCAAGATATTCTTCTTATCAATTTAATCTACTCCATACTTAATTTTCTAGCATTCCTCCGTCAACAACGTTCCTGTCGAAGGCTAAAGAACGACTAACAATCATCCGTGTTGCTTCGCGCTCGCCGGTCGGCGAAGGAGCAGGACAAATAAGACCAACTAGTCTATGGTGGAACAGAGAGGGCAACTGCATCGTTGGAATAACAGTACTCTCACATTGGTGAACGCCGTCGAAGCACGGTACCGTTATCGGTTACCGCGTTACCACGCCGACGAGGACCAGCGACGGAAACCAGAGAATCCAGACTGCTCCTCAGCTTCTCCCGTAAGGCTCCTCCTCCACCTCCTCCTTTCTTTCTTCGTGTTCTCGTTGCTCCATGTGTTTCCTTGACCCCACGCGTCCTTTCCCGGACAGAATAAAGATGTTGGTCACTAGATATACGATGCCAGTGAAAAGTATTATTATCAAAAGTACTATTAAAAGTATTATTATAAGTATAATGATACTATAATGGTATCATAAGTATACTGATATTTAGTATGGATCGAACGCTTCTCACTGTTTCTAGTTTTTAGTTGCTTTATTACAAACCTGTTTGTTATTTCTTTTGCATCATACCTGTCTTTATAGGAATTTTATGCAACTTTGCAATTTCAAATTTTCTACAAGTGTATAAAAATGTGTTAATAACTTTTGTATTAGATATTTTTCACGATGTTGTTGACAGTCACTTTATATTAGATATTTTTTACTGCGTTACTGATAGTCGCATATTCTGGAATTTAGTTTTATACATGCACATATTAATAAATGGTGACTTGTATTGAAGATTTAAACATATTTTGTAAAATTGTGCCAGCTTTTATTAAACTTTCTTCCGTCCGCTACCGTATATATTCAGAGTAAATCTCGTTATAGTTGTTTGATAGTCTGATCTCGGTTGAACATTTTGGTTTATGAGCTGTCTTTTTGAATTTATAGAGATGAATTCGGGACGATGTTAATGGATTAACAATTTTGGTTTGCTTTCTATATGCTAATCTCAGGTCGACTCTTTGGACTTTGTTTGGACCGGATAAAATGGCATGGTTTCTGATGATTGTCGTTTAGTTGAGTGGAGGATTTTAGGGCTGGGATTTTTGGATTTTCTGAAAATCGTAATTAGGTACTAATTGAAATTTATTGAAACTAAATTTTAAAAATTTTAATTATTAAACAGTTTAATTGATAGACATTTTCATTAACAGATCATTATCTGAATAGAAAATATTCTTTTTAGAAAGTATTCGCTGTATTCTTTGGAATAATTGTTTTTGGGCCGCAAAAGTCGAAAGAGTTAAGAGTGTCTGTTATTTTCTCGAGGGAAATTGTTCGTTAGAAAACGTCTCGAAATTTCTTCGATAGTAATCACACGTGTTCCTGCTGTGAGAGACAATGGAGTTTGGTTTTCTTCTGTAATTCTACTTCGATGTAAGTGTTTCAATTTAGTATTATAATGGTAATAAGAGACAGGAACGTTTTTCAGTTCCTCGATACTTTCGGTCTTCCCTGAATGATGGTTACCACATTAAATGCACAGTAATTAGCATAATATACGTAACTAGTTTTCGACCTACTTTCCTACTGTTGAATTTCTTCGGCTTGCTAAAGCGCAGGAGTTTTAATAAACTATCATTACCAGTAGTATATTGTAGTTTTCCAGTACCTTTTGTTCCACAAAAGCACTCATCGAGTACGTGGAAACGTTTAATCGTGATCTTTGAAATTTCGAAATTGGTATTCCCGTGTGTCCTACTTTTTCTGTCTCTTTTTGAAGAATATTCCGTACGATAGATACAGTGGAAAAGGAACGAAAAGAAACAGAAATGAAACAAATTTTGTAAAAGATGTTTTTGGAAAAATGAATACCTAAATTTGTAGCGATCGCTTAAAGAAACATAAAATGTCTTTAATTAATTGGTATTTCTCACGATCGAGAAAAGATTGGCATTTTTCTTATTAATATTTCCTACTATTCAAAATTAATATTTTCCTCTTTATCTTTCAAAAGGAAAATCAATACTTCAAATCATCGAATTCTATCTCAAAATATTGAAGTGTATAATTCTCCTCAACAAGCAAAATAAACAAGAAGAAAGATTATCTCTTCACATCTTCCAAACTATCCACTTCCCTCAAAAGTGCAATATTTCTCCAAAAAATAATTCTCTAATATATTCCAAACTGTGTTTATTTTCTCAAAAAGGCCGATAGTGACAAATTTTCCTTAAGAATCGAACGAAAACTAACATTTCTTCAAAAACTAATTTTCTAAGATCGTCTATGCTCCGAAAAAAATGATAAAATACCAAATCTCCATTAAAAATTCAAAAGTTAACATTTCTTCAAATATTCCAAATTTTTGTGAAAAGCCCAAAACCGTTAGATTTTCGTCGAAAATCGGTCACAACAATGCTTCTCATCTCTTATCCACGCCACGAACGTCAAACTCATGAGAAATAGATATCGATATTGGACCAATTAATCGCAATGATGCGTACGTGTCAGGCGAGGCACGACGCACAAGATTTCCGGTAAAAAGCCGCGACCAGACATTCACCCTTCCCGTGGAACAGCAGAAAGGCTCTCTCCGTCGATCTTCATCCTCCTGCTCCTCCTGTTCTTCCTCCTTCTCCTCGCTCCAGCGTGGAGGAGCCGACTCACTGGCTAGAGAACTCGAGTCTCTCCTGCGGAACATCCCCGGCAGTTTCACGTCGACGGTCATCCGGATCGACTCGTGGCCAAGGTCGATCGTCAACGGCAACGTTCTTTTCGCGTGAAAAACGTCGGTTTTTTCATATTTCTTGCTGAACAGCCGATTGTCTATTGAAGATCTGTGAAATTATAACAGCTGATTATCCATTGAAAATTTGTGAAATTACAAAAATTGATTGTTCATTGCGACAGTTGATAATCTATCGAAAATTTGTGGAATTACGCCAATTGGATTATCTATTTGAATATTTGTGAAATTACAAGAATCGATTGTCCTCCGTTACAACGATCGATTATCTGCTGAAAATTTGTGAAATTTGAAATCGAACAAGTGTTTCTTACATTTCATTTCATATTGTGGTATCGATACAAAGAAGATGGAGGAGTCCGGAGAACCGTGGATCTATACGATCTAAGTGATCTATACGATAATATGGGATTCGTGGCGGTGGTGCGCTGGTGTTTTTCGAGAAACTTTAGAAAACTTTTGTTTAGGAGACTCTGTTTGAGGATTTTTGGGCGAAATTGAGATCGTGGAGCATTGGAAAGTAAGTGGATGAATTTTGATATCTTGTTGCATATTCGAGATCACGTTCTACAGAAGCGTCGATGGACCTCTGACTCTGGAATACTATGGTGGGGTACTGTGTTCTCCATTTATTTTTGATTTAGTTATTTTTTAGATATCGTAGTTCTCTGTTATTTATACTTTCTTGTATCCGACACGAGACTGTTTAATCATTGGTTTGAACTTGTTTGAAGTAGATATTATGATATTAAAATTGTACTTTTCAATCATCTTAATACCCTACTTTTACTCATTTTCATTATGTGTTAGGCTGTTTAGAGTTCACATTTGCTGATAATCTTCTGGCATGGAGAAACTAAGGTTATTTAATAACAGATTTGAACTTGTTTAAAGCGAGTAGTATGTCAGATTATGAATATTTTTCAACCATTTAAAACTATCTTTCTATATTCTCCCTCATATATCATAGAATTAGAAATACAAATGAGGAATTAGAATTAGAAATACAAATATCATCTACCTCCTCGATTTTAAGCAGATATCTTCTTCCATCATCTGAAATTCGAACGGTTGCTTAAATTGTACTTTCTTCTACCTAGATTTTATTTATTTATCCGAAATTGGCATTTCTACCGCAAAGAGACGACTCCGATACGATTTTCCCTGGCACGCGAACAGTTTCGTGCGTCCGGTTACTTCCGTTCGTTTATTCGATTCCCATTAGACCGAACTCGGCTAGTAAACGAACCGTGAACTTGGTAATTGCAAGTTGAACGATCCACACACGCTTTAAATCCGGCCGCGCATGTTAGCTTCTCCACGCGATTCGTCGACACGTGATGCTGTAATCTGTTTGTCGACCTTAATACCGTTGCCTTCAACGCGGTGAACGAGGATCCTTCGTCATCCGTAGCGCTGACAGTCGCCTAAACGTCCAACAATTGGTTTACCTTGTAATTGGCTGTAAATTAATGGAAACTGGCAAACCAAGAAAACCAGTGGCTTAGAAAGATTAATAGCAGAGTAGAAGAACAAATGTTTTAATATTTCGATAGAGATCCTGAATAAGAATTTTTAAAATAATATAAACCTTCTCCCACGGATCATTAAATTTTGAATATCTTAATTTTTGAATACTTCAAATATTAGATATTTTAAATTAAAGTTGATATTGTTATTATGTTTCAAATGTTTGAATCTTTTAATATTCGGAACTTCAAACTTTTTAAATTTCGGCAAACTTACATTTGTATTCAGTAACTTTCAAATCCTACAGGATTGCAGTGGATATAATTCGGTCTCTTTCCTTCCAAAGATTTGAAATTAAAGTAGAAAAATTAAATAAGCACGAATCTTGTCCAACGAGGTTTAGTCGAGACGAAAATAGGAATATTTAATTGATGTGGCTAAAGATCAAAGAGACGTATAACTGTGAATCGAGTCCAGTTGTAAAATTTACCCTCGTTATTCATCTTGAGTAAAAATTAAACGCATGCCTTAATTGTCCTTAATTGACCGTGCCTTAACTTAATGAAGCATTCAACAAGATTCCATTTTGTAAACGCACCTGAAACAAAATAGTGGTCCATAAAGTTGAACAAAATCTGTTTCTCGTGTTCACGATGCGTTAACTTTACGACTACATCTTGTCAATTAGATTCATTTTATTTTTAAATCAAAAAAACAATACGTTTTAAAATAAATTGCCAAGGAATTAGATTAGAATTTTATCAGTCGACTTTCGTGGTTTCATAGTATGTACGTGATACCAAATATTCAAACGAAGAACATAAATTAAAAATCACTAGGATTTAAACGAAATTTTCATGATATTTATAAACGAAACACATACGTAGGATTTTCCAACACAGAAATATATTTATACAAAAATTATTTATTGGCACATACGTAGGATAGAAACTAAATCATTAAAACAAATCTTGAAAGAAATCTGCAATCGATATTATTGTGTTACTAAATCAAAATCATTAGATATAATATTATTCCATAATTCGAACGAACAAGTATTCGAATTGAAAGTTCAATTGGAAATCTATGACCAGGATTCCAATCATGATCATCTCGAAATCGATTCGTTCCCGTTGCCGTAATTAGCTGGTTGGATCGGTAATCGTCCAATTTTCGATAATCAGTTTCGTCACGACCTCGGCGTGCAACGGTGAACACGTGAACAGATGGGCTCCGTTTACGTGTACGTGTCAGCGACAGTTATTCCCCATAATACGCGAGCCGACAGACGCCTTTCTGAAAAGTCCCTCGATCCGGCTAACTGTAAAAGATTTCACGCTGCTTCGTTTCCCAGCAGAATACGACGTAAAATTAGAAATTCTAATTACCAACGGATACGCTGTACCTTCGACTTATTTTCGACAGAATTTCATACGGTTCGCGTTAGAAATTCTTTTATCGGTTATTCTTTATTCCTTTTTCTTCCATTAGGCCACTTATACAGGTTTGAAGTGGAATGATAAAGAGTAGCGTTAATAACTAATCATGACGACATCGCTAATGTTTTTGAGGATATCAATATCTAAATGTCGAGTGGATCAATTTTTATATATAATCGGGGACAAAGTTTCGCAATGACATATTGGGTTTTACGTAAGTGAGAATTGAGTGGCGGATTAAACGAATTCTTTCGTTGTATGGGGAACGATGAAATTTGGCAATAAATTGGCTATTTCTACGAAAAAAAGAATTGAAATTTTGTAAACCATTTTAATTCTACAAGAAGAGAATGAAATTTGGAGCCAAATAGAAATAGAAAATGGAATACACTTTTTGTTTCGAAAAGCGTGAGATTTAAGAAGGAAGAATTGAATATCGAATAAGGAGGGATTGCGATAGATGTTTGGTTCTATAAAAAGAGGATGATATCTGCGGACGATGGATTGGAAATTTAATAGTTAAGAATAGAAAAAAATAGAATTGAAATTTTGGAACTGTGCAACAGTCAACGTATTAAAAGAAACGCGACGAGCCTCGCGCTGAAAATCGAGCGGCGGTAAGCTGATGGCATGCACGCGATAATTCTACACGAGTGGATATCGAGTACCGCGTGCCCGCGATTTCTACCGCGGTGAACAATGCTATCTTTCGCGAAATGCAATCCCTTCTTCCCACTTGGAAAACCATATTCTTCGTGTGATTGGCGAGCTTGTAAATGAGTGACGGCGCGGCGCCACGAGTGTGAAAATTTCGCTGGAATTCGCTGATGCAACAATAGCAAAAACGTTCCAGTTATTATGTTTTGCGAGCAGACACGAACTATAGGCAAACAGCGATTCATCTGACATAGTTATGGGACAGTAAATCTTTTCGATGATATACGCGGAACGTTTGTCGGGAATCATAGGCTGAGAAATGTTCGTAGGAACGATATTATTAGGTTAATTAGACTGATGATGTTTATGCAATTTCATGTTCTATGAATGCAACTTACAATATGAAACTTTAATTAGAGCTTTGAATATTTCATAAATTTCTGCTCTTTGTTAATGTCCCCAAAACTTAAATCAACACCCGTAGAATTCTATATAAATTATAATGAACATTCTTCATTGATGATGTTTATCATTTAGAATGTAAAATGTTAGGTGATTAAGTAGCTCAAAAACAAGTAACCTGATAAAAACTTGTCCTAGCTATTTACGATCCAGAGATACTTGTTAAGATGGATAACCGATCATAAATGTCTCACAATCTCTGTTCCAACAAGCACGTTTCACGCTACATGTTTGAAAAGGATACAGTCGATGGCCTTGATTAAAAGTACCGCCTCAAAGGGTGAAATTACGAGCTGCCCGCCACTTTTACTCGAGCCCAGATTCGAAACGGTGTCTGTCGATCGTTCTTCATCCAGTCTCGTCTTGCAATTACAGTTTTAATTGCCATTATCCGACGTGATACGTATTCTCGAATAAATTTAACGCATACTGCGGACCAGCAGCAAGGGTCCGTGGAAACGAGGTGAGATCCTGTCCAGATCTCACCTCTTTCGAATCTTTCGAACTTTGTTAACTGCCAGTGTTTCTGAACAAATTTCTATCGAGCATTGAGGCGTTCATTGTTTATTCTTAGGTTCGATACAGATGTTACGTGGTTGATTTTTCAATAGCGACACTGTATAATTAAACAGGTTTATAAGCCTACATAAATCCCTTAAATATAAAATACAGTAAAATCTCTATGTACATGTTTTGAACGCATTAAGACACATATTGTTAAATATATAATAATTTACGTGGATATCTTTGTGTTGTACTTCCATGAATTAACACAATTAAGCGAAGATGTATTGATCGATAGGACAGATGGTGTTTCCATGAAATAAAACACGATTTTTACATTGAGTTTGTATTTAACCTTTCAACATTTACATAATACTTAACATTTATATAATACTTAATATTAATTAGACTTCTAAAGAACAGATTTCTGAAATAAGTAGATCAGTTTCTGCTTCATAACACTGTATTATTTATTAACACTGTATAAATACACAGAGTGTATATAATATAAAAAAATATATAAAATATCGAAAGTATGCCATTCGTCGTTACAATATTTAGCGAGTGAAACAAATCTCTCTACTTATTTTCAGATTCTATCTCTTTACTTGCATTTATAAAAATTTAAGTTGGCATAAATATCTGCAGTCTAGTTATAAGAATTGCTGTTTGATATAAAATAATTACTATTTCATTGGTATAATTAATCGATAAAATTATGAAAGGAGATCGCACATACATATTTAGAAAACGATTGAGACTAGATATCCTTCATAAGGATGGTTGAATTGTTCCAGAACGAATGACGTCGCTCGATGAAAACACGACGAAGAGAAAAGCTCCAGGGAGCTTAAAAGAGATACAGACGTGGATCGTGCTCTAGTTTAGATCTAGAGCCGAATATGTCTTGCGTGGGAATGTCCTGTTACGAGGATGGCTTCCGGTTGGCTGGTCCCGCATCGGAATGCTCCCTCAGAAGCAAGGCTCGCATCGATGCCCTGTTCGAAGATTCGAGGTATGATTTTCAGTTAGTAATACAATTCAGACTCGTTTTAGAATTTTTAATACAACTTGATAAATTGTGTTAACTCGCCTTACAATTTTTAATACAATCCAGTAAAAAAGTACTATACCAAACTCAAATAACAAACGATACACTTCTTCATTAATTTCGCAAGACAGTACAATTTTTATAAAAAGATTCCTAAAAGGCTACAGTGAAACTTATTGATTCAGGTCGATCTACGGATCGAACATTGGCGGTTGGTATGGCGCGGTATCAACCATGAACTCGAATCATCTGGAGGACATGGGGGTGGACGAGCAGAGAAGGGTGAACAGCGCCGTGCAGGCGAGGATCGAGGCGATGTTCGCTTCCGTGGAAGCCGAAAGCGAAACACCTGGAGAATGCGCCGCCGCGATTTTACCGGTAAATATATCGATTACTTTCCTCCGTGGTTCTTCGTCATTTTCGTGCCACCAAACACTTTTCTCTAGTCTTGGGAACCTGTAGAACGATATTATCGCTCATTGTTGGTACACTCATTAATCAAACTCGTCGTTAGTATCACCGTTAGTAGTGTATTGATCCCCAAAGTATGCATACAGTGGCGTTTATGTTAAAATGTTCTAGCCTTTGTAGCCTTTGTACTTAAATATTACAGCGTAAGTTTCAATGCACTTAACTTAATATTATTAAATACTCGACTTACATTCAAATATTATTAAAAGATGTTTCTTTCTGCTTTTACTGCCAAAGTTTCTTACGAGGGAATTTTTCTTTTATTAAATATAGAAAATATCACAGTGTAAATGTTAATGCACTTGTCGTTTCAAATGTCGTTAGAAGACATTGCTTTCCTTTCATTGTTGAACTAGAGTTGACCAGAAAATTCTACGTTCGAATTTCTTCTATCGTTTGCATATTCATTCGTCGAAATACGAGAACGAAGTCGATTCGATCGAAATCAGTTGTCGTAGAGTCGAATGCAGCGCGGATCCGCGCAACAAAGATTTCACTGCAATTAGACGGGATCACGAAGAAAAAGAGGATTTTCACTTATGTTAATTCGATCGTACGGCCGCGTCACCGCGTCCCTGCCCCCGTGCACAGAAAAATCTCGGGGAATGGCCATTCGTTCCACTCTCGAGACGAGTTCGCAGCTGTTCGCGCCTTGGCCAAGGATTCACCTACTTCGCGGCCTGAAAATCGCCTCGAAACACGCACCGACCGCGTATTTCATATTTCGCTACGAAAACCTCGGACTTTTACGGACGTTACACGAAAACGCCTCGCTGTCTTTCCTTATTGCTTTTCTCGTTTAATTTCATTGCATTTTTTAAAAGAAATATTAGCAGAGCATACGAATAGACTGGGGATTTTTATGCATTCACGAGGAATTTGAAAATCCAAAATTGTACGTAATATGGAAAAATATTTAAAATCATGAAGCAATATTTTGCCTGAGTTTCATTTTTTTAATTATATCTGCAAAAATACGAATCTGCATAAATACTCGTAGTCCAAATATGGGAAATATGAGAATATAAGAAAGAATAAAATATTCGAACGTCAAACGAGTTTGCTAAAATATAAAATGTTCTAATCCTTCTAAAAATAAAATTTTATATAATCCTCACTTACTCGACAATTCGTTCGTGTACAAAAATCAACGAATATATCGGATACATTTACGAATGGAAATAAAATTGAGATCGACGTATAATTGGTCTGGTGAACTGCTTGCTCGTTCGAAGACGAAGAGAAGCGAAAAAATAAAAAGGTAGAAAAAGGGTAATAAAAATAGAATTTTTGCAGTTTTGTGCTCAACTGGAATATGGTCTGGAGTTACTTCTAGTTAAGTATGAATTTAGGTGGATGATTATGAAGAATATTTTTCGAATATTTTTGTTTAATGTCGAATTAAATATCTTTGCTATCTGATGCTTCCATACAGGCGTGTATTAAATAATATTTAGTTGAATGAGAGTAGAACGAAACGTGCTGGCAGAGATTAAGAACGTCGTAACACTTAATATTGCGTACTACTAATTATGCGACACGGTCGAGCGCAGTTTTCATCGAGTAGGAGGCGAATATCGTTCTTGATGTCTAGGGAACGGTGGAAAATATGCCAATGAGGATTGTTCGTACTATGGAAACATTATTTCCGTTCGATTTCAAGTTCCATCGCACGATATCGTGCCATAATCTTTTTCAAAATTTGATTTCTCCGGGGAAAAGCCTAGTTGAAGTACATAGCTGAAGTATGAAACATAATTGGTGTAGAAATCGAACGATATATTACATTTTCTTCAATTCAACAGAATGATACAGGACTTTCTTTCTTTTTTTATTTTTCATAGTTCTTCCTCTCCAAGTTACATTTATTACATATTGATTACGTTTGATTTACACTTATGGTCCACTTTTTAATTAGCAAGCTTAACATTTCTCGTACTTAACATTTGGACTTCAAATCTACAATTTAAACTTGACCTTAGAATGTACAGTGGAATCTCGGTTGTTCGAGCCCCGTTTAACCGAAGTGTTGTACTATCAGAGGTGCTCTGAACTTTACGGTAACTTCATTTTTTTTCGAAACTTTAACGCGAAGAGTACGAAAGTATAAATAGTCAAGTATTGTGAAAGTAGTTAACAAAACTTTCAACCGTTTAAATAATTAATTAAACCTAAATACGTGTTCAACATCGTACTATCAAAAGTTTTCTACGATTTTACGATTTTATAATTTATGAACTTTATAATTTAGAAAAGTTAATAGATTATTCCGTATTATCTCTGTTTTCAACTATCCGAGATCGGCCGGGTCCACATCACCTCGGATAATCGAGATTCTACTCTACCTCTTATTCTCTATACTTTTACATATAACATAACAATATAAAATATAAAGATGCAAAAATATAATATAAAATACACAAAATAAAATTTGTTTTTTCCAGTCATGTCAGTCCGGTGCTGAAAATGTAAAATCATATTCTCCCGAACGTAATTACATAATTAGAATTTAGATAAAAAATTGGTTTATCTGTTAAATATTGTAAAAGGTACCATACTTTGGACATTTCATATATTTTCATCCTGTCATCATTATATACATCCTGTGCATTTATGCATCTTCAAATTTTTCATAAATACTAAAAAGTCCGCAGTCTCTCGATAAGTACCCTAAGTCATTCTTAAAGACAAATTGCATGACTTTCCTCGAGCGGCCGTGGTCCCAGCGATTTTTAATCATCACTTTCATTCCGTTCACGATTCGCGAAGCGTGACGGGGCTTGCTCCTGACTATTTGGAGCATTGAAAAATTCCCCTTCGTTGCCGCGGATCGGTATGCGGATTTTTCTTATTGCCCCGCTTTTATGGCCTCCCTCTTCCGCATCGTTTCGTTGCGCCATCCTCGATGATGCCTTCGTCGAGGTCAGCAACAACTTTAGATCATTGCCTCGACGCCCATAGAGATACAATCTTAAGACCTGTAGAATTTCATCCACGCTTCGAATTGACGAGCTTTTATACTTATCAGCTCTTAACCATCCAATATGTAAGGATAAAGAGCACGTTTTATGAAAGATAGCGGCTCTGAGGCTGCGATGGGACGATAAAGAAAATGGGTAAGTAGGTTCCTGAGAAATTTGAAAAAGGGACGCAAGAAGAACTCATACAGCATCTCATGAAAAGCGTATTCGAACACTTGTAGAAACTTTCATCAATGCACGTATATAACGTGTTACGTGAAACATTCTGAAATTTCATTAACACAGATCTATGAAATTTTATACATAATCGAGCAGAGAATCATTTTCTAAATGTACAGTGGGGTGCAAAAGAGATACATAATTAATTCTACAAGTAATTGTAGAACTGCATTGTTAACATTAAATTGATTATTTAATTTTTCAATTATTGAATCCTAAAATTTTGAAATATATATGCATATAGGGGTGACAAAATATCTAGTACAAACAATATATGATAATGATAGTAATATTAATTTCACAAAGATTATACATTCAAGATAGTTATTAGTGTTTTTTGGATAAATATATATTTCTATTAAATTACATACATTTTCAGAATATCTTCAAACTTGACCAATACAATCATGAAAATCGCGTCTCATTAAAAATTTTTAAATGCTATTAATTTACTGCAAATAATTCGTAGAATTTATATGCATACTCACTGGAAATTATGTACATACTCGAGCTTGGTACATCCAATATATTCTTTTACGTATTTTATAAACCGTAAAAATGTCAAGGTATCCCAATTACAATTCTTTTCAAATATAATCCATTACCATATCGACTATTTGTCCATCATCTGCAAATGTGTGTCCCAATATGCAAATCAGCCTCGTCATTACATCAGAGGATGGCAAACAAAGACTCGTAGAATGATAAAAGAATATGTCACGTTGTTGTCTCTTCCAGAACAGGATAAGAATTCGTCATTTTACTGCCTTGATTACAACCACATAATTGCGTTTAGAAGTAACTTCTTCATTAAGATCCATTACAGTCTATATCTTCATGAAATAAATATCCATTCCTTAGAAGACACGAGAGACCGGAATAAAAATGGCACTTCATCGCGTGTTTCGATGTTCTTCCAATGAAAACACGCTGCGTCCCGTAACTACAAAACCTCAGAGAAACTTTCAATTTTTATATATTGTATCAAAAATATTTTACATGTCCAAACGAAGTTTGAAATTATATTAAAAAACAAGTTAGCCTTTCCTTTCCTAAAAAAAAGGCTAAATTACGTTCAATGGAAAAAGGAAACTCGTTAGAACGTAAGAAAAAAGTAGAGAACCGTTTATCTTCGTTTCATAATTGCAAAACCAGCATGACATCCAAATTGTACAAAAAAGTGGAATTGAACAAGTTGACTCAACAATCGAACTCACGACAAAAAGAAATTGCAATAGGAACTTTCAGTTTGGCTGCTCACTTCTAAATATTTCTAACCGGACTTATCCTATCTGTTATATCTCATACCAAGTACCTGTATAAAAATGGAGAAAATGGTTTCGCGCTTATGACAGGCAATATACTTTTCGTTTCGTTCATGGAAGATAAGGAGATAAGGTTTAGTAAGTATTCTAAGCGTGAAGATAACCGATACTTTACGTTTCGCTTTTAATGGAAACGTGTTTCGCGCGCATCGTGAAACGTTTTACACTGGTCGTAGTTGGGGCTAATGGCCGATGAAAACTCCCGATAACGGCGCACCATCGATTAATCTACGTAATTTACACCGTACTTGCATCTTGGTGAACTTTCATTATCCTGTCGTTCGTGGCGCGTCCTTGTGCTTCTAGTAGAGCTATTACCTCTTTCTCATCCTGGTGATGTCGGTAAAAAGCGAGGTGCCTGCCACGAACATGATGCTCTTCGATATTTTCTAATTTAGAGTACTATAACGATGTATCGAAGAATCTAAACATTCTATTGTATTTCTTGTAATTTGGTGCACTATGAAAAAGGGGCTTAAGTGTCCATTAAATGGCCATTAAATGACCATCAAATTATCCTTCCAGGTGAAATATATGGGCGCAGCACCTGTGGGAGGTCGCGTGGCAAGCGTTCGAGGCCTCCAAGAACCCCTACGTCAGCTTCTGGAAAGAATCCAATGTTCTGTGCGGGCGGAACTCGAAGTCTCCAGACGAGGGTTGACTTTCCGCACGTCTGACACCTGCGAGAAGAACAACCCCTTTCGCAGGATCGCCGTGTGGAGTGCACTGAGACTTCGTAATAAACGCATGCCATCGGGAGAGCTGCATCACGCTTTCTTGCCGTTGGTCGGTGATCACGAACAGAGCCAGACAAGCGAGGAGAAGCACGCAGACTTGTACAGGTGAGCATGGCGATGGAAAGCGCCATCAGGTGAAATTAATAGCGTTGTGGCTACCTGTAATTAATTTTCAGTTCACGCTTGGATTGCAAAAATTACTTTGAAAAGGTTTATTCGGTTGATTTCAGGGAAACTTTGGTTTGAGAAACTTTGTTCAGGATGTGGATGTTTCAGATTAATCATTTTAGAGTTTTATGTATCTCAGTATTATCATGGTTTTAGGTATTTCAGACGAGCATCTTGAATTTTTAGGTATTTCAGGAATTTTTAGATAACCTTTTTGGGGTTTTAGGTGTTTTAGATAGCCAAATTTATATCTTGTGGTATTTCGGATAATCGTCTAAAATTTGTATATATTTTAGATAATTAATCTGGCTTTTTAGATGTCTTAGGTAATTATTTTCAGCTTTTAGGTATTTCAGGTAATGATTTTAGGTTCTCAGATTTATTACGATGATAGATATAAATATAAGAAACGATTGCTTTTTAATTACTCTACATTATTCTCCGTTTTTGAGGCGTATTTTTCAATCGTTGGAATAGTTGATATTTTTTAATTAGCGTTATACTTCATTCAAACAAAAGTCCAAGTAGAACTATAAAAATAGGTTTACAACGATTTAGGAAATTACAACTAAATTTAAAACACACGTGTTTCAGAACAATGCGTGGCCTGAAAACGACATCAGACCACTATTCACCGATATTTGCAGTAGTAATGCGACGACCAGGGGCGACCAGGTTACTAGAATGCCACGCGTTCGCGTGTGAGACGGAAGAGGATGCAGTGGCTGCTGCAGCGACCCTCTACAGATCTTTACTCGCTGATTTGGATGCGAATCGACGTCGGCCAAGGCACACGAACGGCGTCGGTTGCATGAGCATAGCCTCGGTAGCCTCCAGCGTCAGAGAACCGAGTCCAAGCAGCAGGCTCAGCACCAGAATGAACATATTACAATCGGAAGCTATCAGATCGACTCCTCAACATCCCGTGAGACCTCCAAGAACGAAGAAAACCTCCGTGTCCAGTTCGGTAACGGAAGAGGAAACTGAAAAATCATCTGGTTTACAAAAAGCTCCCAGAAGAAAGAAGAAAAATTCTGATATCAAAGCAGAAGACGTTTTGGAGGCTCGAGGAAGAAGAAAAGAGGCTAGTCCGAAAGAAAAAATTACTCCAGTGGTCCAGAGCTTCAGTCCTATTCAGACGAACTTCGACTCGAAAGTTTCCAAGAAAGAGGAACGCGAAAATTCGAAGAATAAAACGTTCGGAATTAAAAAAGAAATAAACGCTCCTGAAAAAATCGAAGTAGAAAACTCGAATAATTCTGCGAACAAGATTTACGACATAGGGGCCAATGGATTCTATGAGACAGTCTCTAACAGATACGAGAAGCTTCCAATAATTGGAAAAGCGGGGAAAATCGAGAGCCCGGCGCAAGAAACTCCGATTAAAGAAGCAGATGACGTGGAGGAAAGAATGTACGAAAAATCTCACGGTTCCTATGACCTGAATAATCCTGTGTCCTCGAGAGATGCGTCTAAGGATCAAGAAACACACTCTGCGAGGTCAGACGTTGTAATCTACGACAGGATCGACAGATCAGGCTGCAAGAGCGAAGAAAACGCATTGTACGAACGAGCTTTGAAGAGAAACAGCAAAGAGAGGCTCTATGAGGAACACTTTAAAGATGTTGATAAAATATACAGTCTTGCCCAGGAAGAAATTTACAGTGGCAGAGGTAGCAAACTGGGACCAGGGAAGATAAAGAGTTCGCAAGAAGATATATTCTTTGGTAGATCCTGTAATAACGAGATTTATCAGTTGAGCCAGGAGAGTCGTGGGGATTCTGTGTCAGTGGAACGAAGAAGGTCCAGGGACCAAGAGAAGATCACACCTGGAAGACGAGTGAGCAGAGTGGTTACCATGGATAAACCTTTGAAGAAGCAACTCAGCGATTCCACATCGAATTTGAATTTGATGGAGCATAATCAGCCAAGAGTCAGGAAGAGAAGCAGAGCTGGAAGTGAACCACCTGTTAGCAGGTCTGAGGATGCTACGAAGGCTCTCGAGGAGACTAGATTGAAGAGATCTCAGAGTGATATAGACGTGGATAGAGGAGATTTGATGACCAGAGTCGAGTTGCCCAGGAGAGGAAGCTTTTTGAATCCTGGAAGCGCTAGGAGACCTAATAGTATCAAAGGTGGCACTCCTTTGGGATTTACCGAACTTTTTGATGAGTTTAGGAATCAGGAGGGTCTGACTAGTGTCGACGACATCTTGGCTGCTATTATCGGTAAGTATTAATCGAGAAAGCTTCAAGATTGAAGATTTACTATTGTTTGAATAATTTTAAGGGACTTGAAGATGCAGATTTATAGTTGACCATATTGGTTTTTTTTATGAATTACAACTTTCTCTTTTATAAATTGTATGGGAATAATATAGAAACGATGACGAGGAAGAAACGTATATTATTATACCAATATTATTATAACACTTCCTCTTACTTTTATGTTAATAATATTATATGTATTCTTTTCTTTTAGTATCAGATTAATTGAAAGCCAACCTTTCATTTGTTATTTTTTTTCTGTCAACTTATATTGTGAAATTCTTTTTCTTTTATACATATAAGTTTCGTTTTTTAATTAACTTCTACACGTTGTGTACTATTTCACTGTGCCTAGTCCTTAATAGGTTAATATGAAATGCTTTTCTATTTCATATTAAATGCTTCTTCTATTATCACATTCTATTACTATTTTATTTGATCCCTCTAGATCCTGAAGGCATGTCATTCAACGACTTGAAACCCTTGTACAAAGAGTTCTTGTTAAAATTAGCCGCCACATTGACACAGGATGAGCTATATCAGAGATCAGCGAGCATAATGAGGAGGCGTCGAAGGCCGCAACGAAGACGATCCAGTCGTCGAACCTGCTTACTTGGCAGGGCCATCAAAAGGTCTGTGTCGAGGTTGAAGGGTGGACCGACGGAATTCACTTCCGTGATCTTCCCTGCGAGAAGACTGAACGATAGTTTCGGTAGTAGCTCTTCTTGCGACGCCAGGAACAATCATAGGAATCGTGTATTGGCTAATAAATTGGGCAAGAGAAGATCTTCGTGGAGGACGAGTAAAAATGGCGCCTGCCATACTACTTCTGAAGATAGCGACACTTGTAAGTATTGTAATATATTTCAGCATCGTCTCGATATTTCTAATTTCTTAATATCTGACATTAAGATGATACAAAACCGATGTATCCGTAGGTGTAAAACTTTCTGAAACAACGTATATGTTTATATACCGTAGAACAGTTCGTACAGGCATTTTTCAGACAATCCCGACAATCCGTCAAAGAAATGCTTTGAACAAAAATATTAAAAGTTTCAAGACGACCTTAACTTTTTATGGGATTCAAAATTTATTGAAAACTTTCAATATCCAAATGTATAGCGCACTGCAAGTTGACTAACTTTCGTTCCAAACGTTTCTTTGGCAGATGATCGGAAATGTACATATATTTCGTTTATAGAGCAGAAAATTTTTGTAGTCGTATGAAAATACTAAAAAATGATACGAAACTTAATGTACTTAAACCCAATTAATTAATATGTAAAATAATGCAATATGTTCAAATATATTTCTCTTTTTTTTTCTTTGTAGCCACTGTAAAATAAGTTTGACTAAAACCCGATGATATTTCTGTTCAGGCAGAAGACTAAACAGAAGCGCAGGAGCGGCAGCGAACAGGAGCAGCAGCGGTTACGTGAGTTGCAGCGAGTGTAGCTACGATTCGGAGTCGTGCACCTGCGTGTCAGCGGACAAATGCTACTGCTCGTTGTCGAGGAGGATCCCGACGCAGCCTCACGTTCCTCCAAACACGGTGGTATGTGCTTGTGACACTGACAGCTGCTCTGAAAGCAATAAGTGTTACTGTGCTCGGCAGCCGATCCGGCCGACGATACTGGAGCAGTTAAGGCAGAGAGGCATCGTGCCCTCTGAAGGCACCCTCAGCCGAGCCGGAAGCCCGGACAAAGCTCGAGCGGTCAAGACCGGCAGATGTCGAACGCCTTCCCAAGGTTTGGATGTACTCAAGGTAATTCGAAACGTAAATACCCTAATTCCTATACAGGGTGAGTTGTAAATGTTCGTATTTCAGGAGATGAATCTATAGGCATTGCGATAAGTAAAAAACATCTGATGAAAACACGTACCATGTACTTTAGTTTTTCAGTTATACAGGGTGGTTGGTAACTGGTGGTACAAGCGGAAAGGGGGTGATTCTACGCGAAAAAAGAAATCGAAAGTATAGAATAAAAATTTTTCGTTCGAGGCTTTGATCGATCGATTTTGAATCGATCAAATCGATTTTGAATTTTCGCTCGGTACGTTATTTCTTTAATTTTTAAAATTTTAAAATTTTTAAATTTTCAAATTTTTAAATATTTAAATATTTAAATTTTTAAATTTTTAAATTTTTAAATTTTTAAATTTTTAAATTTTTAAATTTTTAAATTTTTAAATTTTTAAATATTTAAATTTTTAAATTTTTAAATTTTTAAGTTTTTAAATTTTTAAATTTTTAAATTTTTAAATTTTTATTCTATATTTTCGACTTCTTTTTTCACGTAGAATCAACCCCTTTCCGTTTGTACCACCAGTTACCAACCACCCTGTATAT